CTGTTGCTTCTTGGCCCGCATAGAGATTTCTCAGGAGACAGGTACGGGTAGTTCCTTGATTATTGTTTTCTACTTGTTTGTCTGGTGTTAATCCCTGCTTTGAGCATGAAACCGAGCAAACTCAGGGAGGCAGTGAAGGACAGGAAGGCCTGGCGCAATATGGTTCATGGGGTCACGAAGAGTCGGACACGACTTAACTGAACAACAAATCCCTGCTTATCTGGGTGTAGGCTGCTGGAAAAGATGTGTTCTGGTCTTTTCGTTTCCTTCTTAGCTTATTGTCTCTTTTAAACGGTGTGTAAATGTGGTTTACTTCTATTTGTCTATTGATGGCTGATGTGCCTGAGTGCCAATTCTTTTCTATTGGTACAGATTCCTTGATTTAATGCATAAAATGCCTCTCAACAGGACTGCAGCACTTTGGATTAAAAGGCAATTAGCTGCTCAGTTACTTGCAGGTGCCCTTGTGCAGCAGTGCCTATCTGCAACTCCCTAAAGCAGCCACATCTTTTCCTGGTATCACATGGGTGACCTCTGCAGCTACTGGGTGATCCTGCAAAAATATGTAATTGGTTTAAAGAATTGCAGACAGCCCAAATGGAGCCACCTCGTGCCTTTTGAATTAAGTTACTACACAGCTCTACTAAAAGCCCATTTCCTATATTTTCCCATGGAAAATAAACACAAGTTCATGGTAATGGGGCTATGAAAAGATGAGTTAGCCAACTTCAGGCCTTTCTGGAGCACTCAAATGTGAAAGCCAAAACTGCTTTCCATTACAGGTAGTCCTCAACTTATGACCATTTGTTTTACAACCATTTGAAGTTACACCAGTGCTGAAAAAGTGACTCACAACTGGTCCTCGCCCCTATGACCACTGCAGCGTCCTTGCAGTCATGAAATCAAAATTTGGGTGCTTGGCAACCAACATGTATTTGCGATGGGTGCACTGTCCCAGGGTCACATGATTGCCATTTGCAGGCTTCCAAGGGGGTTTCTGACAAAAAAAGTCAATGGGTGAAGCCAGATGCACTTAATGACCACACAATTCACTTAATGACCATGGCAAAAAGGTCGTAAAATTGGGCACAACTCTCTTAATGATGGCATTGCTTAATGACAGAAGTTCCGATCCCGGTCATAAGTCAAGGACTACCTGTACTTTAAAAGATTTGGCACCCACTTTGACAGATCATGACTCTCTGCCCCATCTGTTGATTGTTCCACAACTCCTGGCAAAGGGCAGCTCTGTTCTTGGTGCATATATTTAAATAATACCTCCTCAAAGGTCAGAGTTCTCAGATTTGCCAGAGGCACATGTGCGATCTAACGTTCGCTTAAACAATGGGGCTGGGATATGCTTAAGCTAAGCAATACAAGCACTTTGCTTTGCAGACTGGCAGATTGGCAAAATGCCTCAGGTTCAAGAGAGGGCTTGGAGTATACTCTGACATT